GTATCCTACTTGTGTTGTTTTGTGCCTCCCCTCACACAATCTTGATATTTTTCATTTGAGAGATTGAAAACGAGATTAGAGGTAAATATTTCTTGATTTGATTGTGATTAATATATTCATCTCGCTAAGCACAAAAATTTGGAAATTTTTTACTTGTTACTAAAACAATTCCCGAGGCTTCTTCAAGAATCCCAAACAAAAATGCCATAAAATTAGCAGCAACATCAGCAAATCCAAATTTGTCACAAACAAAAAACTTCTTATCCTTGAACTCATTATCAAGAATCTTCAATAGTCCACCAAATTCCTCTTTTGATTTTTCTGTCTCCTCTCCTTTGATAAACAATACTTTCCCCAATAGTGGTATACACTGCAAAATCACTTCATTAACGTGGTACTGTTCGAATTTTGAAAGTTAAATATCTCAAGTTAGGCCGTAAATTTTGGCTATGAAATATTTAAATTATAAAAATAAAATTTATATATTTGAAAATTATGTAAAATGTAGTACAAGTCACGATAATTGACAACTTGCAAGTTACAATATCCAAAAGATATATGAAAAAATCATAATTAAAATTAGACTTGTTTGAATCTCAAATTCCAAAAAATATCACATAAATTGAGAAAAAAGAGTAGTAAATTTTAATAAGAAACACTGTTAATTTGCAAATTCATAAAAATAGTACTAACTAATTTGCTAAAAATATTTGGTATAAGGGGTGGATGTCCAAAATTTTGCTCCGATAAATTGATAGTCTCATTTGAAACTTCTGTCACGGGACTAATAGGTGTTTCTTCTAACTCCTCTTCTCCCAAATCAGCTTCTACTTCTTCACCTGAATTTTCATCAACATTAGGATTAATATTACCATAACGTCGTTCTAAACTTCGTGATCGAGTTGAACATTTGAATCAATATCATAAGGAGTATCATCATTTTAAAAAAAATACACTATTAAGATGAAAATTATTAGTACTTAATATTATTTTTTTCAGTTACTAGTTTTAGGTAAGATTTTATCAACTTAACATTGAAAAACATCTTTAAATGAGACAATTATTATATGTACTGTTAACATAATGATACAAGTAATAGGTTGATAAATATTAAATAAAGATAAGAATTAGAACCATAGAATTTGACTCAAAAAGTTGGTGACTTGATAATTGGTATAACTTCATTTTAATATGCTTAGAATAATGCTTGAAACTAAAATTTAATAAGAAATAAAAAATAATTTTTATAATATACTTTGTAACACTTTTCAATGCTAATTCTCATTTTTAATAAAGTACTTCATGAAGAATATTAAAATGGATAAAATAATTTATGTATGTATGGTGAGATTTCATTGTCTTCTTCCATAGATGGACAGAAACAAATGGAGTGTCCAACTTTTTGACTCTTCCATGTTGACGAGCAACTTGTCTTCAATTTTTTATTTTTATTTTGGTGTTAGATAAGATGCATCAGAAAGATTAATGTATATGTATGTAATTTCATGTATTACTAATATTTTATTTTGTATTGTTTTTTAATTTATGCATAATTATTGCTTTGGTTAGTTATATTTGATATTAGAACTGTATTGAGTATGCTCCTTAACTAAGCACATATTATTACTTTCTTTCGTGGAATATTAAAAATATTCATGTAATAGATTAACTGAACTTAAATACATTATCGATCTTTCAAAATAAGTGAAATATGTTTTTAAATTCTCTTCAAATTTAGGAGTGTTTTCAACACTCCTCTCGACTTTTTATTAAGAGCTACATATTTCTATAAGGGTTTGAGACCACTTACTATGTTATGAGGCAAATCGAAAATATATTTAAGTTCTGTTTGTCAAGTAAAGAGATATTTTTAAAATTTTAATAGTTTAAAAGTAAAACTAATAATTAGCGGTCAAATTTAAGAGTATTTTTAAAAAAATATTTCTCTCTTGATATTAAGGTATATATATATATATAACTCATAGCATAATTAAAGGTATAGTTGTCCCAATAATATTGCTTTTTATACATCAAATCAAATATTTATTGCGCAAAAAAATTATTTTAATTAATTAGGAGTCCACTCAACCATCTTTTGTTTCCAAACTCAACTACTATGGGGAAAGGTAAATACAATAAGATGACACTATCATTTATTAGATCGAAAGATATTACAACCCACATGCACTCATAAACAAACTTACAAAAAACAACATACTACCTACTAACATAAGGTAGTTTTAATAGCCACACAAAATAAAAACTCAAAAAAATCACTAAGTAGAAAGTTTTTATTTTTGGGCAGCTGCAAAACGAGCTTTGAAATGTGCAAGTATTTCATCTCTTGGCGGTAAATATTCCTTGATTGTACTACAATTAACGTACTCATTTCTCCAATTACAAAAAATTGGAAATTTTTCGCTTGTCACAAAAATATTTCCAGATGCTTCTTCAACAATTCCCATCCAATATGCCATCAAATTTCCAGCCATATCAGCAAATCCAAATTTGTCACCAACAAAAAAGTTCTTGTCTTTTAGCTCATTTTCAAGAATCTTTATTAAATCACCCAATTCCTCTTTAGCTTTGTTTGACTCCTCTCCACTACCAAATATAGCTTTCCCCATTACTGGCATGCACTGTAAAATTACGTAACAAATTACTGTAAGTCACAATAATTTATAATTTAAAATATTTAAAAGACATAAATAAACTGGACAGCCAATTTGGGGGTGGAGGGAGCACTATTTAAAATGTACTCCCAATATCTCAATTTATATGAAATAATTTGAATTTCAAAAGTTGCATTCAAGAAATGTTATCTCGTAAGGTTTGTGAAAAATAACTTGCATATTTAGTAAATCACAAGAATTAGCAATTTAAAATATTGAAGAGGAATACGAATAATCGAGGTAAAAATAAAATCAGATCTTTGTCATATAAATTAAAACAGATGGAGTACTATTTAGGTTTTAGAGTATATATAAACTCAAAACGAAAAGAATTTACCTTATCATCAAAGAACTTAGCCCAAAAACGAGCTATAGCTCGATCATAAGGATCTTTAGGCAAGATGGAAGGACCTTCAAATGTCTCATCAATGTATTCAACAATCACCATTGACTCACAAATTGGCTTGCCATTGTGAATTAGCACTGGAATTTTCTTGTGAATTGGATTCAATTCAAGAAGTACAGGACTTTTGTTATGTAAATCTTCTTCAACAAATTCATATTCAACACCCTTAATCTTGAGAGCCCACTCAACTCTACGACTAAAAGGGCTCAATGAAATACCTAGCAACTTTACTCCTGCCATCTCACAACTTAATTATGTTATCTTTGGCTTTATGTATGTGTTTGAATTTTTGGTTTTCTTTTATAGATGGGAAAATTGTTTAAAATATACTAATATATTTGTGTATTTGATGATTAAATACAACAAAAAAGTAGTACAATGTTTCTTGATCAACAATTCATTTGTCGATTTTTTTATGTTTTCTATGCTGACCGACGACTTAGTCTCAATTAAATATAATTCAATAAATATGAGTTGTTGATGGTTACAACTTAAGTTCATTATTTAATATAGAAAATGCTGGTAGAATAACATGTACATTTTAACTAAAAATTTTAGATTCGAGTGTGTTCAATACGAAGTCGTTTCTATATATGGAAACTACTATGCTTAGAAAAATGTATCAATCATGTTATGCTTCACAAAAAAGCCATAGTTTTGACTATATCTTAATTAGTTGGTGGCGAGGACAATAAAATGACATATGTGCTTATGTCACCAACTTTTTCATTAATGTGTTTCTGTTATCTAAAATATAAAATATTAATCTCCAACTTCTTTCCCGGAAAAGGCAAATCATGTACGCTCACACCTTCTAATTATTTTTAGTTTCCATAAGTAATAGTGTCTAAGATTTTTAATATTTTTCAAGAACTTCTTGTAGAAAGTACTGAAACTATGCATAAGTGAATAACTTTCATCCTTTTGGTAGATATTGTCAAAAGACTAAGGGATCTTACGAAAATATGAGCAGTTAACGTGACTATCAACAAAAGTTATTATTTATAATTTCATTACTTTCTACAAGTAATTCTTGAAAAATATAAAAAATCTTAGTCTCTGTTGCTTATGAAAACTAAAAGTGATAGAAAGGTGTGAGCGTACATGATTTGCTTTTTACGTAACGGAAGGAAGTTGAAGATTAATTATTTTGAGTTTTTGGCCAAACTCATCCTTAAACTATCCCTCAAACTCAAACTACATCCTTAATGTATCATTCTTATCATAAAACATCCTTAAGTATTGTAAAGTACACAATTTTCATTCTTCTACTTGAATTTATCAGAAAACTTATCGATTTATCCCACAAAAAATAAGTCGTCCCTTCTTAATTGTTTTTCTTAGATATGCGAAGAATATTATCGCAAAACTTTTCGTAATTGAGTTAAGAATTATGCAAAATCTTTTAATTTGACTGTCTTTTCAGTTATTTTTAATATAATTTTAATTATAAATATTATTAGATTAAATATGTTTCTTCTCAATTGAATATGCTAGAAGCGACATTTCTTGGAGACTTTCCCTCCTAATAATGTCGAATGAAATTCAAATACGAGACATAATCAATATTTTGGTTACTTTGATATATTGATTGACCGAAAAATCTATTAATTTACTTGGTTAAGAAAAAGATAAAAATAATTAATCTCCAACTTCTTTCCGTCACGGAAAAGGCAAATCATGTACGCTCACACCTTCCAATCATTTTTAGTTTCCATAAGCAATAGTGTCTAAGATTTTTGATATTTTTCAAGAACTTCTTGTAGAAAGTACTGAAGTTATGCATAATAACTTTTGTTGATAGTCACATTAAGTGCTCATGTTTTCGTAAGGTCTCTTAGTTTTTTGACAATATCTTAAAAAGGATGAAGGTTGTTCACTTATAAATACTTAAAGGATGTTTTCGGTTAACAATGATACTTTAAGGATGTAGTTTAAGTTTGGAGTATAGTTAAAGGATGTTTTCTACTAAAAATAATATTTTAAGTATGTAATTTAAATTTGGGGTATAGTTAAATAATATTTTTGACCAAAAACTCGAATATAGTAAATTTGAAATTTGGGGAATTCCATTTGCCATCAGGCACTAGTCATAAATTAAAAATTATTCTATTGAGGGATTTCATTTCGATCTAAACTAGAAATTAGAAAAATATGATCTATGTGTTTATGTCAACCACTTTTAGTCAAACTCTCATATATTATCTTAGTCCCCACAAATATGAAAGATAAAAAATAATTTTTTTAGATAGTCATCCATGTTTAAGAAATTAGCTAAGAATATATAGAATCACTCCGTGAGTCATGTTTTATCCGAAATCGAAAAAAATATTTGTCTTGAAAAGTTTTTGATTTTTTAGAGAGTCGCCACTAAATTTTTAAGAAAATCAAGAAAAAACTGAGGTTTTCAAAAGACTTAACAGAGAAAAATCGTTTGAAAACAATCTAGAGGGTTCAGAGATTCAAATTAATGTTTAAGAAAGGTGTTAGGCACCTAAAACATTTCGCTTAATACGATTATCCGACAACTAACTATTTGGTTAAACTTGTAAAGTACAGTTTAGAATTATGAACTAATGTTAAAATTTAGTTTGCGAATTTTATTTGCTCTTTTAGAATTAGTTTGAGATCATTTAAGTTGATGAAACATTACGGCGTTTGGCGGGGATTCGGATTGGGTTGGAAACTAATATACAAGAGTAGAATTTTAAACGGGAATGGGTCGCTCCAGCTTTGGGCTTGCTGAAATCTTGGGCTGCTGATAATTGGTAAAAGGAAAAAGGGTTTGGGCCGGCTGAGATGGGCTAAGAATTAAAAACGAATTGGGCTGATCTAAAGAAATTGGGTAATGGGCCTGGGAAGGAGAGTTGCAAGAATGACCCAAAATTGAATTAAATTGGAAATTTAAGATGGGTTAAATTTAATAAATAGCCAAATTTAGTTAAAATAATGAACCCCATCAAAAGCTCTCACGTTGACCTGGTTCTGCTCTTGTTTCCTAAGGTCAAACCTTAGCTGCCTCAACGTCGACAATGGGCAGATATTCAAACCGGATCTGTCATCCACTAAGACGCGGTTGACAACTTTTTCACGGCATATCACGGTAATGTGCAGCGCTTTATTGTGTGATCTTCCTTCGACTGGCAACTCATCGTCACAAAAGTTGTTCCGGTGCCCCCGAATAACTTGATGAATCATGGCAGCCACGTTATGACTACTTATACTTGAGGGTACGTATGTATTATCGAGAGCTTTCATTAAGGCCTGCCTGTGGAACTGAGAGCTCATCAGCAGGGCCCACAAGGAGATCTGAGTCGGAGTCTTCTCTAAATGTTTGACGATGGAATAGTGCTTCGGTTGCATCCTTCTCGAGAACTCTTCTGCTTCTCATTCGCTTATCGACCTCTTAGCATGGTCTTTTTTCTGTCCTCCGAGAGCAAGCTCATCAGGAGTGTAGCACCTTTCGGACCTGGTCATGCCTTGGGCCACAACATTTTCAATGACAAATTTGGGCTTGACGAGAGTTTCTGAAGGCACCAAGGCAACATCCTTTGTAGGTGTCAGAATAACAAACTCTCTCCTTTCTTTGATGCTTAAAGAAGCGATAACTCTTTCCAAGTCCTCATGCACAATGGGAGTAATCATCTTTGTTCCATACCCATCTTCATCCGTTTCAATCATATTAGCCTTACCACCTCCATGATTCGGCAACGGGTTTGTATTGACATTTGGCGCCGCCGGTTGGAGGGAAACTACCTCCTGATCGATCAGATCCTGAATTTTGTGCTTAAGGTTGATACAATCTTCTGTGTCATGTCCAACACTGTTGGAATGATAAGCACATCTTTGATCTGGCTTGTAGAACTTTGAATAGACATCCACGGGCTTGGCTTCAAAGGGTGGATGTATCCAGCCGCGGCTAGTCTCTCAAATAGTTTGGTCCGGCTTTCAGCAAGTGCAGTGAAGTTCCTTGAAGGCCTTTTTTCAAATTTGGGTCGGGAAGGGTTGTAATCGCTATGCTAAAGGGGAGGCACCTGCTGATAATTTCGGATATTCGGACGAGGAGCTTTGTTTTTAGGATATGAGTTTGTTTGATAATTTGGCAATGGAGCTTGGTAATTCGGGAGGGGGTTCTGATATAATGGAGCTTGGACTTGATAAATGGGGGAGGGTGCTCGGTAGCTCGACTGTACATTGGCAGCAATATTCTGATAGGGAGATGGAATCTGGTAAAGTTGAGGATAATTTGGGTATATGGGAGAAAATTTTTAGAGATTTGTGGGTGGACTATGGTACGACAAAATTTGAGCATTTGGATGGGTGGGGGTAGTATTATGGTTGTTGGGATGATTGGATTGTGGGTAGTAAGCTTGGTGGGGCTTTGGGGAATGCCTGGATCTATCTTGGGAATGTAACGAGTTTCTCGAGTTTTTTCTTCCCCCATACGAGACAACAACAACTTCTTCTCTTTTCTTCCTCATCAATCCTGAAGATCCAGGTGACGCAGATACACGGGCTATTTTCCCCACATTTCAGACCGTATTCAATAGTCTCATCGATTTTGACTATCTCGGCGAATTTAGCTCCAACTAGAAGCATGATCCTGTCGTAGTATTTTGGCTCCTGCACCCGCACAAACACTTCAACAATCTCTTTCTCGGTGATGGGCGGCCTTACCCTTGCTGCTTCTTTCCTCCATCTATAGGGAAACTCCATATAGCTTTCAGTTGGTCTCTGCTTCATCTTCTCTAGAGAATACCGATCGGGAACGATTTTGACATAGTAGGCAAATCGGTCAATGAAGTCTTTGGCGAATGCGTTCCAACTGGGCCACTACCTGGTTTTGTGTGAAGTAAACCACTCGAGGGCTTCCCCACATAGACTTCGGCTGAAAATCCGCATCAACAAGGCCTCATCCCTGCCATCTCCCACGAGTTGGTCACAATATTCTCTCAGATGAACCATTGGGTTACCTACTCCTCCGAATGTGTCAAACTTCAGAATTTTAAACCTTTTGGGAACGTTCAAATTTGGGTGGATGAACAACTCTTCATAACTGAGTCCAACGACGTCTAGGATGCACTGTCGCTATTTCATAGCCCTTTTGATTTCCTCTTTTATATCGATCTTTGCATCCTCCTTCGCCTTCCATTCTCTTTCTTGTTCTTCATAGGGATCCAACTTAGAATCGTGCACATCGTGCTCGGCAGGAACAGGAACTTGGAAGGTGGCTCTTTTGAGCGGTCTGGT